ATCTTAGTACTAGCCAAATCAAAGGCTCCGTCTGCATTTAGGATATGACACTTCTTTTTTTCTTCTCAATTTATGCTAAATATACTTGTTTTACAACCAACTTACTTAGGGACAAAACACACGCATATATGCTTGTTTATAAGTTAAGGCTTTTACAATTACACTGAACAGCACAATCTCAAAGGCATTCTCAAATTATAATTAAATCTTAAGGGATATTCTGTCTAAATAGAGCACGCCACGTAATGAAGGGGACTATGTGGAGCTTGCTGGGGGTCCATCCCCGTGGGGATCCACAGTTAGCCTAACTTCCATGAGGCCATGGGCTTCACAAGCCTAAACGGCAAAAGCAAGGTCTGCTTAGTTACCGTGTTTGTTGCTTCTGCTGTGCTAAGGTGGTGGTCACGGGTGGGGATCTTTTACAATAGGGAACTGTATGCTTTGGTCAAGAAGAAACACTGGACGTAGAAACAAGATGTAAGATTAGATATGGTTGCTTAGGGAGGCCTTGAAACTGTTGAGACTTGTATCCAAGATATACATAATCATATATATGTATATGTGTGTGTGTGCATGCTGCTGTGTTGGGTGAATATAGTAGATGTAGTAGAAGAAGAGTAATAAAGGACTTTCCTATGACAGAGGCCTCTGGTTGCTGAACTGCGACAACGTAACAATTGATTAGCCCCATTTACCCTCTCTCCAGACTGCCTTGCTTTCTACACAGGTCTCTTTTCTTGGATCTTTCCCTTTTTCTTATACATCTAAGTTGCAACTACTACTGAGGGGTAATCCAGGAATTTGTAATACTTCATCTCCATACACCAAGCATACAATCACGTGATTCTGCTGTGATTCAGTTTCCATTGCAATATGTTGTATAATATATATCAGTGAATATTAAGATGTTATTACGAAATAAACAAGAGAGTTCAGCAAAGCAGATTACGATAACAAAAAGAGAATAGATAGAAAGCTAACCCGTATCCTGGGCTCACTTACAAAACTCCAGCACAGTGAATCTCCAGAAGAGATCCTTTCCCCCTGGTAGCCAGCTCTTAAATAGGTCTAGGAGAGGTGCAGCCAGGCTCCACCCCTTCCGGCAGCACAGGTGAATTGTTTTCACCTGTGCTCCTGTGGCTGACTCATGGCTCGCCTCAGGTGATCAATCAGAGGTTCAGTTCCCATACATATTGATTATAATTAGTGCAGCATTTTCTCCAGATAAAGAAAATATTAACAACAACCTTTTGTTTTCTACAATTAGATATTTTTCTCTGTTAGAGATTCTTTCCCAATTAAAATAACTGCATGATCCTTACCTCACAGTAACAACTATAGAGACAGCGTCTTAAGTGCTCAGATTTCAAGTTCGTATGTTCACAATATAATCACTAAGTTTTCAAAGCTCTAGGTGAAGAGTTGTATAGTGCATCTTGGTATTTTCCTATACCTAATACCAAACAAAACATAGTAGCATTTCAGATTACTTTCTACAGAAGCTCAGAAGAATTCTTTTCACATATAAATCTTAGATGCACTGCTTAAACCTAGCAATAGGTGTTTACTGTAAGGGAACTGCTAAATCATGGCCTGAACCACTGTCTGATTACCTGAGACAAGCAGTGAGTCAGCCCAAGGAGCACAAGTGAAGGCAATCAGCTGTGTGACTGGAAGGGATGGAGCCTGGTTGCACCTCTCCTAGACCCTGTTTAAGGGCTGACTGCTACTGAGGAAGGATCTTTTCCTGGAGATCCCTCCTTTTGGAGTTTTATACTTTGAGCCTAGGGGGAGCTTCCATTTATTTTTGATTGGCTTTTCTACCACAATAATCTTTTTAACTATAAACTTGTAAAATACCATCCCAACCACACCGCTCTTCTAACTGTACATTTGTTAACTGTACATTTGTTAACTGTACAGTGCACAATGATCAGTTAGTAGATAAAACATACCTGGCAAATCTCTTTCTTCACAAGTCACTGGAATATTAGTGAATAAGGTAGGCTTTGTTAACCTCATCACTGCAAAAGCAGAAAATAAACCATAGGTCAATTGACAAGTTTATTTGTTTAAGCACAGTTCTGTCATGCACTCCATTAAAAAAAGAACTAATGAAAACAAAACACTATCAAATCTCAGCTCAAACGATGTCAAGATCTTTTTAGCCCACCTGGTCATTTTCAACAAAATGAATTCCCTGCTACTCTAATCCAAGCATACGGGTGGTGAAAATGGTTCCTCGTGCTTTCTCTGACACAATAATGTCTACCATTTTTTATCTTAAATTTGAATATATCTTTTCTGTTAAAATGTTGTACTATGTTTTTTGTGGATACAAGGAGTGTACCAGCTTCATTCTGTGTGACCATTCTAAGTCTGCTTAGATGTCTGTTCTGTGACTCTAGATACCACAGAATTGAACACAATGACTTATTTGGATTTTAGCAGCCATAAATACCAGGACACAACACAATTTATATCCTAATCTCCACAATATACATATGATATACATAGAATTAAGGAGCCAAGACTGAAGTAAGGAGCCAAGATTGTCAATACAACAGCAAAAGGGCCAAAAAACTCAAGGATCTTCTTATAAAATCTTTCATCAATACCAATAAAATCAAAATCATCAAGATCTTCTGATTAAAAAAACAAAACTCTACTTCAAGAAGGTTGTGTTTTCAATGGCATTTCTTCTATGAAGATAGAAAGAGAGAGCTGAGGTTGATGAGAGTTGAGCTCTTCTCTCCTGGAGAGGAGAAGACTCCAAGAAGAACTGACTGAAGTCCTCTCGTACCCAAAGGGGAGCTAGAAGAAAACTGAAGAGGAACTCCATGAGGGAATGCAGTGATAAACTGTGCAATGGTTTCAAACTAAAAAAAGGCAGATTCAGATTAGGTATTCTGAGCAAGTTCTTTAATCAGAGGATGGTGAGGCGTTGGCACAGACTGCTTATCTCTGGAGGTGTTCAGTGTAGGCTGAATGGGCTCCTGGGCAGCTTGGTCTGGTGGGAGGTTTTCCTATTCAAGGCGGGGGAATGGAACTAGGTGATATTTAAGATTCCTTCCAATCCAAACCATTCTGCGATTCTCTAACTTCATGTAACTCAGAATACTCAAGGTCACATGATTTTCATTTGCACTATATATTTAAGATTCTTGAACTTACAAATTTCCTCCCTACTAATACAAATCAGTGCCCCCACCTTGCCTATTGCTTCATATGAATGCATCAACATAAAACTTAAGTTTAGCATTTGCAATCTCAAATTTTGATCTGAATATGTAAAGTGCACTGATTCCTTTTTCTTCTACCAAACATAAAACTTAAAATTTTATTTTATAAAAAAATCACAGTATTTCTTTTGAATACAAGATGTTAAACAACAACCTTGCACTGAAACATGTACTGCATTTTCACATTTATTGTACTATTTACAGACCATCTCAGCATTCACTATTTCCAACTGTATAAAAATATTCAACTCCTTTCATATAGTAGTGGGCTGGGCTGGTTCACATTAACTTATACTATCATACAGTAAACCTATACAAGCTAGTATTTACATGAACAAATCTTAGTTTTCAAATGTAAAACAACAACAACTTCAAATCATTCTCTTTTGTGTGTTTAAAGACTAAAAATATGACCTCTGAAGGCTTTGTACCATGCGGTAAACAAAAAGCCTCAAAATACACAAAACAGAGTAAGTAGAGAAGCGGATTCAACATAGGAACTGAAAAAGGTACTGAATCACATGTGTGTATGAACAAAGCAGTTCTAGATAGCTCAAAGTAGAATTTTTTTACTTCACTTCTACATTGGTCCTACCCGAAACAAATAGCTTTATAGAAAAACTAAATGCTGCATTCATTTACTACTGTTTAGTTCTCCAGCTGTGGTGTAATCAAGCACAGTGAGTATCATTGGTCATAAGCCCCTGACAACTACAACTGAATAGTGGCACTGATCTCTGTTCCAAATTTTGGCAGATTGTAGAGTATCAAGTTGGAAAGGATCTACAAAAGTCACAGGGTCCAGCCCCCAGCTCCACACAGGGACATCCAAAATTCAAACCCTGCCTCTGAGCGTTGGCCAGATGGTCCTTGAGCGGGACTGCTGCTATGACCACTATCCTGAGCAGCCTGCTTAACTGCCCACCACCCTCTGGTGCACAACCTGTCCCCAGCCCCCAGCAGCCCTCCCCTGGCACAGCTCCATGCCGTTCCCTCAGGCCTTGTTGCTGTCACACAGAGCAGAGCTCAGCGCTGCCCTCCACTACCTGTGAGGAGCTGCAGCCGCCATCAGGCCTCCCCTCCGCTCTTCTGCTCTGCACTGAGCACGCTCAGGGGCGTCAGACACTCCTCATACCCCTTGCCCTCCAGTCCCTTTACCATCTTCATAGTCCTCCATGGACACTCTCCAATAGGTTTAAGTCCTCCATATATTGTGGCGCGAAAACCACACCCAGATCTGGAGGTGAGGCTGCACAGTGCGGAACAGAAAGGACAACCCCTCCCTCACCCACAGGCAGTGCTCAGCCTACTGCACACCAGGACATGGATGCCACTCTTGGCTGTCAGGGCAAACTGCTGCCTCATGGTTTAACTCGCCATCAGCCACAACGCACAATCCCTTTCTATGGGGGCTGCTCATCCACGATTCTGTATGCTCCAGGCACAGAAACTGGCACTTGCTCATTACAACTCAGGCACTTGGTGAGTGCCCAGCACTCTCATTTGTCATGATCTCTTTGCAAAGCCTTTCTACCACCAAGGAATGTTTTCTTAGTTAAGTCCTAAGTTTATTTAAAGAATATAGTGGGGTTGTATTATAGACAATTACCTAATTGTCTTCAAATCTACAATAAGCTTATATAACTAGAACCGACTACTTATCATGGAAGAGTTACAGCTCAAGTTTAAAATAAAGATAACAGTAATAAAATTAAAAAATATACACCATGGAGTGAAGTCAAAATGCACAAATCAAGATACGTAGATTATTGTATTTAATGAGACTACTAAAGTATTCTGTTCTTGTAGTATTACAGATTATCTCTTGCTTTTTTCCTCAGATTCTAACACTTAATAAAACATTCTGCATCTTACTACATTGTATCTCTAAAAATTCTGACAGTACAAAGTAACTTCATTACTATTATCTTTAAGATCAGAGAAGTAATTTCACTGATGTAAATTGGCTACATAAGCTCTACTACTAATAGCAACAACTAGTTATCTGTCATATCAGTTTTGCTAAGCAGTAATATTAAATCCCACAAATACACCAAATAATAATACAGAACATTCAGCTTTCAGCCAAAGTTTAAAAATGCATGTCAATGTTCAATATCCTTTGTTTTAAACTACAAAGAGGTATGCAATGTCCACAATAAACTATTATTATTCAAACATTATCATATGAAGAAAAACAAGCAAAATTCCAAAGGGAATATCCTGGAGAAATTAAGTGCAGAAGTATTATTTTTTCCTTTAGACAAAGGACGAGAGAAAAAACACAGAATACTGTACCAAATCAAACAAATGCATGTTGCAGGTGAATGCGAGAGGCAAATGTATTAATCTTCATTGACCCATTCACGATTTTCCCAACAAAATAAACTTAAATACACTACTACAACTTGAAAACTGTAGTAAAGTAACAGTTATTTTCTCTTAATTAATTCATCAGCTGTTCTGAAGTTTGTGTATTTTAAGCTCCTTAAAAACTAAGCTAACTAGAAACTACTTCAGACAACAATATTGTTACAAAACTATGTTACAATCACAAACTAAATATAATTCCAAATTTATGTACAAGCAAATTCATTTTATCAGTAAGGCTCAGCTTTTCCCTAAGAATATTTCTAATATATTCACAGTATAGTATATCACAGAAAATCCATATCTGTCCCAAAGATCTTTGGATAGTAGCATTGCAAGATGGCAATTCGTTCTGCTTGATCAGTCTATTTAATTTTATCCAGATGTCCTCCAAGTTCTGGTTATTACAATTAGACTGCTCAATTGTCCACTTTGCTCTATAAAATGCATGCAATTTAAGTCTTTCCAAATTGTTTTGAAGTTCTTGAGATAGAGGAAGAATCTTTTCTTTAAGCTTAGGGCTACAGAGAGAGACACTCCAAGACCTTTTCAATTTCTGTTTCTCATTAGATGGTGGTTCTCCTTGATTTTCCAAGTTAATTTGCCTGCGGCCATTTTGTGTGTGGGTTAAAGTCTGCCCGTGATTCATATCAGACCGAAATTCAAGGAGATTTTTTGTGCAGTCATAACTAGGAGATTCTACAATACATTCTGAAGGTGTAGTAAGTTGTTTCAATTCTTCTGCTTCTTCAGAAGAAATAACAGGTGGTTGCTTTTTGGGTTTGAGCGGAAGTCTGTACAAATCATTTGGAAACCAGGGTGTGAATCTTGGTAACTGACGAATGGGAAGCTCCTTCACTGCCGCTTCTGCAAATTTGTGCAGTTCTGTCAGATCTCTCTGATGTGGTCGATAATGTAAGACCACTTCCATGCTTGTGCAGTAGCAATCCAGTTATTCTTAGTTACAAGAATAGTCTCTTGATGAGGATTCATAAGTCTAGATTGAAACATCTTATTTACAAGAATTTCCTTGCCCCATGCTGCAAAGATCAGTGGGAAACGGGACCTAAAGCAGAAGCATTATGAAAAAATAAGACACTTCCAAATTAAGAAAAACATTGCTAGGATATTCTGTAAAAAAAAAGCAACAAGTGGTAAAAACAAGCCAGACATGTACATTAACTTTTCTATTTACTCAAGCTGACTACAGCAACTGTGTTCCATCACCACCAGCATAATTTCAGTACACTGAACATTACCCACAAGAACGCAGTTTAATAGATGCTGTCCTTCCTCAAGTATATTCTTTTCACTGGAACCTTTTCATGCTTGCCATCCACCTGTCAGTCTTGTTACATTTTTGTGATCAGTAGGGTAAGGATAACTGAGAAGACCTCAAATGTTAATTCTTGCATATTAAGGCAAGCATAATTCTCTTTTTCCAAAGATTCTGTACTCACATGACTTTATGAACTCAAAGCATGAAGTAAAATAATTCTTAAAAATATCATCTTTAATAAGACACATCACCACCACTGTCTATTTCAGCAAAGCCACCAATCAAATATTTATTTATTTTTGAAGTATTTTCCCCCAAAATTTTAACAGACTAAGCCAAGGCATATAAATTAATTACAGAATATACTGTGTATTTCAGAAATCTTCCTGAAATAGTACTGACAGATGTTGCAGTTTTTAAAGTTGACACTAAAAGGTAAGTCTAAACAGACTAAGGTCTGCTTTTTTTCCCAGTTTATATAATGTTCATAGACATTCAACTTTTACCCTCATAGCTTCCAAGGAATACATGCAGCCATTCTTTCAGAAGTAGTAAGTCCTTACAGATTTTATACTCTAAAAATATCGGTAACTTCTTTCTTTTATTTAAATACCAAATTAAAGTAGGGAAAAAAAAAAAAAAAACAACAAACAACAACCTACAAACAGGACTATGAGACATAACACAAAACACATATAACATGCACTCTCACTCAAGCTTCCCCTCTCTGCTTATCAAGTTTGCAATCATTTCAGGTTTTCCATCAGATATTAGCAATATACAATAATGTTGGAGTCACTAAAATTTCAAATTGCTTAATCATGTCACTGTCAATATTTTGTGCATGGGCACTGTATCAAATTCAACACAAGCCCAAGGATCCTACTGATTTATCGCAAAAACAGACTGACATGCCATACAACTTGTTCCTTTGTATAAATTACTAACAAAATGTTCTGATAATGGCAGCTGACAGTATTCCATGTTCTTACGTTTTGGCTTAGCTGTTGTCTGTACACATGTATGAAAAAGTGATTGCTGATCTCTAAATTATGGTTAATACATTTTACTATGAGATGCTGAAAACTCTCTCAAAAAACACTGTGAAGCAATTAAACAAACAGGAGATGGAGTCTAACATCTACGCACCTGCACTGCTTTACATAACTGAGCCATATCACTCACTTAAAATACACATGTAATTAAGGTTTTAACTGTTCCCTATTCCACCTCAATAGCAATGCTTATTTCCAACAAGCACTGTTCAAGAAAAAGAAGGTGGATACTTCTGCTGACTGCAGTAAGAGGCAGCTAGATTCAGGTTTTTCACTGCTTCAGCTCCTAACCTCATGGTACCCAAGTGCCTGTTGGCACAACCAGCTTTTTTTATAGAAACCTATCGATTATTTTTGTTTCTATCAGCTCTAGCTCTGTAAGAACTACTAGTTTTTTTCTCTCAATACCCGTGTTTCCTGAATCAAAAATGCAAGCCAACGACTGTTCACCGAGGGAAAAAGCCATTAAAGGAAAAAAAAAATAAAAATCAGGGGACTACAAAGAAAATCTTAAAAAAAAAAAAAAAAAAAAAATTAGAACTGCTGAAGCCTGTCTGCAAACCGCAAATACAGCGCAGAGCCCGGAGCGCCCCGCCAGGCCCGGCGCGCAGCCCCGTCCTCCGCCCGCCCGCCCGCTCCCCGCAGCGAGACGCGGTCACGCGGCGCGCCTCGTCCTTCCGCAGTCCTCCCCTGACCCAGGGGAAAGCAGCTCGGCCCTCAGCACTTCCCACGCTCAGGGACCGGCCGGATGAGAGCGGCCGCTGAGGGCCCGGCCAGGCAAGGCGCCCGTACCTTTCAGGGCCAGCAGGTGCTCCTGCTTGGGCTGGTTAATGTCCATGGTGCAGCCGCGAGCCCCGAGCGCCCCAACCACGGTAGAAGTGCGCACGCACGGCGCAGCAGAGCGAGCACCTCCGAACCCGGAAGCAGCTGTCCAGGACACACCCCGCCCGGCACCACCACGGCGCCACCAACTGCTCAGCCCCTCCTCGCAGGAAGGCGGGCCCCGCGAGCGCCCAGCAGGCGATGCCTGCTGTGACGGATAGTCCTCGAGAGCTTCCCGAAGCGGCAGTCCCGCGGAGCACGACGGGAACCGCAGTTCTTTGCCGCTCAGTCGGAGGAAGCGCGCAGTCCCGCCCCTACCGTGCGCACGTTAAGGCGGGTTTTTTTTCTGTGGCCCGCTGTGCTCCGCCCTTCAAAGATGGCGGCCCTGGCTGTAAACAAGGCTGGGACTGGGCCGGACGGCAGCCGTGGAGCCAGTAATAACCGGGGCCCAACCGGCGCCGCCGTGAAGGTGAGACGAGCTGTTCGGCGCTCTCCGGCTTGCGGTCTGCCCCTGCTGGGCTCGGCGAGAGGCGTAGTGAGGGCTCTCCGGGGCGGCAGGGTTTCCCTGAGGCGGTGGGCTGGGTCGCGCCGGAACACCGCTGCGGGAGGGCCTCGCTGCGTTTCCACCTCAGCGCGGGGCTCCGGTGAGCGGCTGTGAGGCGGGAGACGGTCAAATGACAGCTGTGTCCCAGCTTCTCTGGGGAGGGCTGTTGTGTGCTGCTTCCGTTTGTTTTTTTTCCCCCTCAGCCTAGAAACAGATGGTATGTTTTCTGAAATCGTAGGTTCTTGAGTGTGGAGTCTGTGAAGATGTGTTCTCTTTGCAAGGCGATAAAGTTCCTCGACTGCTTCTGTGTGGCCATACCGTCTGCCATGACTGCCTCACCCGGCTTCCCCTTCATGGCAGGGCCGTCCGCTGTCCTTTTGATCGGCAAGTTACTGAATTGGGTAAGAAAGCTTTAGTCTGAATTTGTTAAGACCAGTCAACCCAGAATGTTCAAAAGACTAAGAAGTTTTAGCAGAAAATGTATAAAAGCCAGTTTGTGTTAGTGGGCTGGCAGTATGTGGTGTCAGAATTTTTACAGTCAGTAGCTTTGATTGGGATGAAAATGGATGGAAAGGGGGTTGGTATGGTAAAATGGATGACTAGATAAGTGTATGGATAATACATAGAGCCAAATAATATGAGTATGCTAGTTGTGGTGTTTGGTTTGCAGCATTCCTTCTGTGGGATGCTTTTTTTTATTGAGAAGAGTGAGGGAGGTCTTTCAAAGATTAAGTAATAAATCTTTATCTTCTCCTTGAACATAGGCTTGTAAGCATCTTATTTGTAAACCTGTATTTATAAAATAACTAATCTGTTTCAAATTCCTGTGTAAGGATACTTCAGAGGACATCAGTTTCCTGTTGTCCTAAACATTAAATAAACCATACAATTATGTAAGTTGTTTCTCTGTCAAACAAATTTGTCTGAAATCACGATGAAATGATAATAAACCTGTTCTTAAACAATATGATAATTTGAAGTGAAATTTAACTTAAATTGGCATCTAGGGATCTTATTACTTTAGAAATGTCTCTGAAGAGCCTTTGAAAGGGTTAGATGCGGCTTTTATTCCACAGTGGGAGTCTTTCAGACAAAATATGGCACATGCTTGTGATTGTTTATTCAATAAAAAAAAAAAAAAATTTTACAGAGAAAACAAGTTACAAGAAGAATTTGTGTCAAGGTTAACTTGTGAACAGAACTATCTGTAGTAGCTTTGAATAGCACAGTAAATAAAAATGTTAGGATAGAGGAGAATCCATGGAGCAGGAGATCTCAAATGTAGTAATCCATGAAAAAAATGTACAATTATCACATTAGCATGAATAAGTATTTATTCTGAAGTGAGAGGGTCTGCTAGAGAGAGAGGAATATTAAAGCATTTAATGGAAACAAACTGAGGAGAGAAACGTCAGTGTGATCTGAATTTTGTTTGTGGTAGGAGAGGTGTGGACGGTATGTGATTAAAAGTGTCTCACAATTTATTTTTTTATCCATGACTGTACAGGGTTTCTGTATGTATGTTTTAACAGGGAGCGTGTGTTAGTCCTGCTGTTGTGAAACTTCAGTGTGAGACAGCTGCTTGTGTCTTGTGATCTGAGAGCAGAGCGTTTTATTGTAATTGGGACATGGTCACTTTGTGGCTCTTACTGTGTGATTTCCACCTGACAATTGAAAGCATCCTATAGTAATTTTTTTTGAGTTTCAGATTCAACAAAAATGCAGTTTTATAAAAACACTAAGTTTCTTCATCTTATATAAAATTCGTAGTTTCTCATGAAGCACAGTGATGTGTTAAATTTGCAAGACTTCTACAGAAAAGAAGGTGGAAGGAAAGTTGCAGCTTTCATTTCTAGGAAAGTAGGCTTGCATCTTATGGATAGTTCTGGAAAGAAGGATGATATGCTGTGACCAGTCATTGCTCAAAAAAAAAAAAAAAAAAAAAAAAAAATTGCAGCAAAACAGCTTGAGAGTCAAAATGTTTTTGTGAATAAAAATGTTCTGCCTGATGATTTCAAGCAGAAGAGGGTCACAGCCACATCTCGTCTGCTCTGTAAGGGCTGTCTCAGGAAATGTAAAAATGTGGTGTATTATGGACAGCATCCTGTCATGATCCGTCTGAGTAGCTTGTGCATTTGTTGTCTTGTCCTAATCAACCTGCTGTTAAATTCTGCTGCAGTTCTGTTTCATTCAGTGATCTCAGGAGTGGAATTGGGAAGGAGGCATGGCAACCATGCACCTGATAAAAGCAACTTCTGGTTCTTCCCTCCCCTCCATTTAGGAACCTCTTAGGAAACAAGCTCTGTTCTGCTTTTAGTGAATTTAAACTCAGGCATCTGGTCAGTAACTAAATCTAGATTATGAGACTGCTGTCCTGAGAAAGTTCTTTTGAAGGAAGAGCTGGGTGATTGGGGCAAAAAATTGCCTGTGTTGAACAAATTGTTAAGATACTAAATACAGATTTTATGAATGCTTTTAAGCTAATGGAATTTTAAACTATACATTTAAGCAGATAGAATTACTTGTTTATCCTTGCTCTTTCTACTATCACTCAACTCGACATTTGTCTAAATGTTCAGAAGGATTCTTAAGCACTTCTCAAGAGATTCCCAGAGACTTTTAGGAAGGATATCTTTTCCCTGTTTTGATTTGGGTGTTTAGTTTAATATGCTTGCCTGTTTCTTCTAGATACAGAAAACAGACAAAATGCTTCTAACTGGCTTCTCAAACAATCAGGATTTCAGGATATGCAAGGTCTGCAAGTAAAAATTGACAATAATACTTACAAAGCCTTTTTTCTACCAAATATTCAGGTTTGGGAGAGTAGGCAAATCATTTCTAACAGTCTTCTTTCTCTCTTCTCCGTTGTGTATGGGATTAAAGTTTTTCTGTGATTACTTTTTTGGTGTGAGTGTGTGTTTTTGTGTGTAATGTTTCAGTTGTTTTTCAAAATACATAGACGAGGGAATTTTGTGAAGGACGTGCTTATGTGATAGCTTTGAAGGCTAACTTTTTCACTTTACCTCAGCAGCTCTGCTAAGGAAACCTTTCGGAGTTTATGACTCAGGTGAACTCTTCCTGCCACCACCATGTTACAGAGCTTGAACTATTTTCTGTCATTAAAACTTGTTCAACTAATGTATTCAGACTTTGGTGTACATCATCAAATCCATTCCATGGACACTGTTTATATATTCTTTTGCTAGAGCCCTAAGATAAAACTTCAAAACATTGTGCAAGAAAATGCGGCTGTAATACAGTATCCCTTCTGCTTTGTTCAGGTATCCAGATGCAGGTGCCTCTTTTTATTACTCCTGTTATTTGTAATTTTTTCCCAGACAAGCTTCATGCTCTTGAAAATGTTATTTGTATTGTTGGCAGGAGTCCATCTTAATATCTTCAGCAGCTCAGTCACTGTCTCGTTCCTGGCAGACATGCTTCCTGCTAATCACGTATTACTCTTCTTTACGGAAGAGACTGTCGGATTGTGTGCTAGTTTTGTAATGGGCACAAACATCCCTTGTAGGCACGGAGATGAGATCACTAGACTCTTTTACACTTGTGACCAAAGCAGAACTTGAACTGAAGTTAAGAGATAAACAAATGTACTTATGCAACTTATCTTTTGGTGTTGTTTTCTTATTATAAAGTATGTGCTTACTACACAGCAATTGTTTAATGTGTTTAGCACAAAAAAGGAGCAAATAGGCTTTTTCTCAAATAATGTAAACTTTCATAAGTACCATTGAAATGAAATGTGAGTTTCTGTAAAACAGTGCCTGTTTTATAGGTGCTTATTTGTTGCAAATTCTGCTTCAGTAGATTAATTCAGATGTTTACGTGTAAGTTTTGCCTGTTCTTTGTGTGTCTCCAAAGCTGTCAGTGCACTAAAGACTTGTAGCATATATTAGCAAATTTCAGCATTGATTTCAACAAATCAGTCAGTTTGTTTCTTCTAACACATTTAAAATCTGAACTAGAAAATAGCTTGTAAGACAGAACAGCTACAGGCCTTTAAGTTAATTGTGCTTTTTTTCTGACTTGACTTTCTCTTCATGCTAACTGTGGAAGAGAAGAAGAAGAACATGATTAAGATCAGATAATGGATTGTAAACAAAGGGCAGTACATTTATTAAGGAAATTTTCTTGGCTTTTTAATTTTTGTAAATTAAAAGAAAATACTTTTATAGTGTACTCTATGAAGATTGAACAGCTTCTTCATCTTTCAGCCTTATCCAGTATTTCATTAAAAGCTAAGAAAATGTTTGGTAAGCAGGTTGATTCTTTTGGTGAGTATGCATCCATGTATATTGTTATTAATGATTCTCTGCATTAATGACTCACTGGATTTTTGAAAGCTATACAAGTATCAGCATTAATTATACGGGTGTGCTATTAATGTGCAGGTATTATACTGTAGTAACCTGAAGTTTGTGCATAGTCATTTTAATATGGGATAGTGTTACTCTAAATGCTGTAGAAGAGAACCATCGGATGCTTTTCTGTAATTGATTTTGGAGAGTTAGT